GCTTCAGTTCATGCTCTCTGAATTGAAGATAATCTTTCCAACTGGAGTCTTGAAGTTACATTCATTATTGGAAGGAGAAGGTAGGAGGAAAGATGGTCAAGATGTTCTTAAATTTTTTATTTGTTTATTTTTTTAGAACTGTTGCTGTCTCCTGAATGCAGATGACAGATGTTAACAACTTCAGAAAGGGAAGCAGTGCCAGTTTAAGTTGAGGCAGGGCTAGCCTGGCTTCTGGGTAAAGATGGACTGGGGTAGGCTTCAAGCAGATGACTGCTGATCTGCCCTAGGGAGGATTTGGGAAGGGAGAGTGGCTGTGTAAAGCTGTTTTGGTCATCAAGAGAGGGCAGTGGCTGAGAAGAGGGGTTTGGGATGCAGCTTTGCCAGAAATTGCCAAGTCAACCTGTCAAGGAAGAGAGCTACACTGATTTAATCTTGGTGTAAATAGTTTTCCTTCCTTTCTTTCTTCATCTTTGCTTTTTAGAAACATTTGTAGTGATGGTGTCAGAGCATTGTGAATAAATGCTGGCGTTAATCATGGTGCCCAGTGGCTGGTGGTAGCACAGGATGATTGATACTGGGTTGTGGTTTTGAAGCCCAATGGGCCCCAGGGATCACGCTACAGCCACCTTCAAATTCTTAATTTGGTAAAAACCCTACAGCTTTGTCTATCTGGATGTAAAATATTTTTCATCTCAGCTGATGTAGGTATCAGAGCTCCACTGAGCATTCTCAGTAGGTGAAGCTGGAAGGTGTCATAGCAACATGTTGTGACATCACCATTATTCAATGTAATTGCTTCATAACATCAGCTGTTGTGTGGTCTGTCCTCCTTGAAGGTAAAAAGGACAGGGGAGGGGCAGACTAAAGGTCATCATTCTGGATGTGTCGTAGCAGTGTCTTGTGTCACCAGCCTTCTCGAGGAAGGCACTGGGAGATGCTGTAGGCTGCAGCTGTGGTTCCCACTGATATGGGGAAGGTGCTGACCAGCCTCCATCTCCTAAGCAATGGTGCTTGCTTAGGGTCAGGAAAGGATGGTTGGGGAAGGGGGTGGTAGGAGCCTTCACAGACATTAAAGGCTGTTCTAGGGTCAACAGAGCTAATCCAGTCCTGGTGACTGGTATGGTCAGGAAGAAAGGAAAAAGGGCCTGACGGGCAACAGGGGACATCTGGTTTAGCCGTAGGCTGGCTAATACTGGGGTGAGGAGCCATGAGGTGGGCTGGTTATTTAAGGAATGAAACGGGTTGTGAAATGATTTGGGGCAGCAAACCTTAACATACCTGAGAAGCTGATGGCTCTTTGATGCTGGGGTAGGAAAGAGCAGTGGGGCAGAGGGCATCTCAGGGCATTTTTGCTGCTGAAAAAATGTAGCACAGAGTTGTGCCTTCAGAGGTATTCAGGTGGTATGGATTTATATCACTATCTGCTTTCCCTCTCAGTAACTGGGAGGTAATTCACTTGACTAATGTGTTGCAGGTTTCTTGCTCTTACTTACCTAGGAATTCACCACATTTTAAAAAGCAAATGAAGCAATGTCTGACTGCTTGTATTTGAGACAGGCCTGTTCTGACAAATCCGTTCTGGACACATCCAGCATCTGCTAAACCACTGTGTCCAAGCCAGTGCACAGCGGCCATCCACTGACAGCCCCTGCCAGAAGCTGCCCTGTCCCATCCAGCGAGTGGGTGGCCTGGGCTTCTGCCTCTCCTCAGCCTGAGGAGATTCAAAGTACAACGTTATCTCCTTAAATACAAGGTTATAAACCAGGCTCACCAAGCTGGGAGGAGCTACCCTCTGCTGCATGGGAGGGCATCCACTTTTCCAGGAAAGTTAGATTGATGAGGACAAGAAGACAAAAAGGAATATAAAAGGAAGCTTAAATCTGTGGTTCTGTGGTTAGGGCACTCAGCTGGGAGGAAAGATCTCATTTCTGACCTCCCTTCTTCCAAGATCTGCCACAAAGCTCAGGCCTGCTGCTGAGGAGGCACCTGTGCCAGGATGAGCTGCCCATCGTACCACTCCGGAGGGGATGCTCAGGGGTGACAGCGCCGTGAAGGACACTTCCTACGCAGGGTCACTGGGCAGCTGCTCTGGCACTCTGTGCCCACAGCGGCACTAGTAATGAGGTTAGGAAACTATCCCAGGCTTATGGCGAGAGCTATGCTCAGCTCTTTTACTGCTGTGCTGTGGTAAACTGTTTTTTACCCTTCTGAGGAGTTCAGGGACAGAGTTAGTGTGAGCCCAGCAACTCACTAAAGCAGGAAGTTTCCAAATATTTTTGTTTGGATGCCACCATTGCCAGTGGCAGCAGCAGCAGCAGCAATGTCTCCTGCTTGCCCTTGTATGCGCTGCAGCAACTTCTGGGAGGCATTGGAGCACCACACTGAGGTGACTCGTGTACCATGAGTGGTATGTCTACCATAGTTTGGGAACCTCTATATTACAGGAAACCAATCCAGGTTTGGCATCCTCAGACTCCCTTGGAAAGGAGTCCGAGTTCCTCACTGAACCGCCATGAGTCACCACACCGGCCTCGAGCCTCAGGAAAGGCTGCTATGGAGACCGTGGACAAACTTGCAATAATTATGGAAGCCTGGCAACAAATTTTTAGAGGATGCCACTGCAAATTATCATATTCCTCCTCAGCCACAACATGTGTTGCCCTTTATTGGAGGTTTAGTCCTTGCTAATTTTAGTTTCTCTGCTGAAATACAATGAATACAGTGGGATGGAAAAAAATTGAGTCACCCTAAAGCTCCTGACTGATCTCCCCTGGATCAGAAGACAGCGGAAGCGCACTTCGGCCATGTCCATAAGGCATATACACATGGCTGAAAGTCACTTTAGCTGACATGACACTCTACTTTCATGGTACTCTGGCAAAACCATACTTCAGCACCAGCCTCTGTCTGGGGCTTGAAAGAGAGTTTAAGTTTCTTTGTATCAATCTGTGCTGGAGGCTTTACCTTTCTCATCCTGCATCTATACCAAAACTTTGAATTTCTGGGTGACAGAAAGTGCGCTTTCTGAAAGTGAGGACAATGTATTCACTTCTAAATCTGGTACCTGCTGGCTGCATAAGATGGCACAGTCCACTAGAAAATTTTAATTATATTCTTTGTTATAGTGCTGTAACTAGGTTTTAAACTGTACCTAGCCTCTTTACACTGGGGAAAGGAATGCTGTACACTTGGTTCTGCTGTTCAAAATAAATCGTTTAGCAAGGTGCAAAGTTTGATAATCACATATGGATGCTCTTGACTTTGAACAAATAGTGAGTGCAGCTGCCCTTGCTGGTGATATCTGGCCCTCTTCTGGTCTGGTCTGAAATAACGGGGAAAAGATCTGTTTTGCTCAGTGTACATTTTCTAGGGAAATATGGCCCCAGGACAGTAGAAATCCAGGCAAACCACCTGGAAAAGAATGGGCTTTCTTAAGCTTTTTATGAAATACTTCACATTCTTGTAATTAGCTAACATTCCTACTGCAATTTTCAGAGATTGAAGCACTGGGAA